CACAGCCTTTGCCCCCAAGAGTCAGAGGGGAATAATATTTTCTGTGTATTATTTACTTTTACACAGTTAGCAAAAGAATAGTCACATATGCTTTTAAGTCTGCTAATGAAGCTATCATAATGTCAAATAAAATGTCACTGTGACCATGCCTAATTAGCATTACAAATTTTTTTTAAGAGATAAACAGCCAGATCCTTCAGGGTGTAAGTCAGTCCAGCTCCAGCATTCGTGCTCACAAGATTTACAAGGGCTAAGGATGGGTCTACAGACTTCTGAAATGGAGGCTTGAAAAATATTGCATTAATGAAATGCAAATCATGTTTCAGTTGTTAAATGAACCTGCTATCTCAGGTGTCTCATGCAATAAAACTGTAGAACTGCTCTGATTGGGATACAAAAAGCAAATAAGTAGTTACAGTCTCTGCTGATGTATGGGAGCAAAACACATCAGACCATGTAAAGCTTAATATTCTGTGAATGGCTTGGTCCAAAGCCCACTGAAAGTCAGCAGAAAGACTGTTGGTATCTGATCCGAAGGCAATTAGTCAGAAATTAAGGATTCTGCGCTTGTTCTTTACCCAGTAAAAGCTGAAGTCAGTTGATCATGGCTGGTTTATAAAACAGCAGCTAATGACGTGCAATAAAGAATTAAGCTCTCATAGAACAGAAAATGTTTTTGCTAGTGACACTATGTAAATGCAAACACATTATTAAAAGTAGATCACAATTAACATTATTCAAATGAGGTTTAATTCTCTGTATAATTTGAAGAAAAAGTGATGCAAGTCATCTTTAATTACAACTTAAAGACAAATTTAAACAAAGCAATTGAATTTCCGTATGAGCTTTAATTGACAGTTTAATTGAAATAGTGAAACTTTACTAATTTCCAAAGTGAGGTAATGAAGGAGTTTGTCTAAGAACTTTAATAAGGATGGATGGGCACAGTTCAATGCACTGATACTATCTCATAAGTCTTCTGTTCCATGACAAGTACAAAGACACACACATCTAAACTATTTAAGTTATCAAAAGCCTTTGCTATGAAATTATGCAGCCTCAGTGATTGCTACTGAATTACTGAATAAACAATTTTCGGAAGTTCCTCATTAAAAAGCAGCAATTGTTTATTTTAAAGAAAGGCAAAGCAATAAAAATATTTAAAAGCATTAAGAACACTATGGTATCAAAGGATGTATACTGACATGTGACTTCTGTGTGATTTTTTCAGGGCCTATATGTTCAACTGCATCCTACAAATGACAAATAAACCATTCAAAATAAAATTAAGAAGGTGTTAAATTCAATTTTCTCCAAACATCTCCACATGCTTTCCTAAAAGGATCTTCTTTTGCGTATAAAACCAGTGAAATCAACTAACCACTCACTGGATGAGGCCAGAGAGGTTCTTTGTTGAGCTGTGAAACACCATGGCCCATCAAGTATCCCCTTCCCTGAGTCCCAGTACAAAGCAAACATTAATTGATGTTTGTCTCCAACATCTACAGGGGTGTTTGCATGGTGGGCTGAGAATTAGCTGAAAGTTAAGCACAAGACAAACACCTAGTGACTGAATTTTATGTATATTATTGCATCAGAAAAATTCTGAAGACAGGTTTGCAGTCCCAATATACTTAATAAAGAAAAGAGCCTGTGTTTGCTTCTTTTTCAGGGCTGAACATTTACCTTTCAAGCACATTAACAGGGGAATTAACAACTAATAAATCACAGTGGTGGTAAGTGCGCATGTAAATGCACCTGTGGACTTTTGAAAGTGACAGCTGAAGCACAGATGGTTTCACACCAAGAAGCACTTTTAAACGCAGGCTCAGTCTAAGCCAGGTTATCCCAAATCCATTTCCATTCAGCGAAGGAGCAGTGTCTCAATACAAGAACGGTCTGTTGGACCACATTGACACATCCAAGTATATTGTACGTAAGACAGGGACCAACACTAGAGCTCCTGAGGACTAAGCCTGTAGCTGCACTGCTATAGGGGAGTCCAGCCCTGCACCTAAGAATACCGAGTCAGATGGAAACTGCCTTCACCTGCACTGCTGACTAAAATTATGTCCAGTTTTCTGGCCCTGAGGCAGAGTTTCACCTTCTCTGGACTGAGTGTGCTTGGTGCTATGTTTGCTCTGGGCCCAGTGTAATGCCCAGTGACCCCAAGGTGTAATTTTTACCTTTGGTGTATCTTTATCAGCTCAAAGTGCTTTAATACTGGAAGACCTGTAGACAAGCAGAAGCAGTCTTGCATATGTGAAACCGTGCATATGCACCGGGTTTAGCATGAGGACATAGAGGTCTTCAGAGATCTAAACCTGCTGGGTAAGATGCAGAGCCAGTTCCCGTACCACCTACTGGGAGTGATCCCCAGTGTGCTAGGACCCAAACTGCCAGTGCATGGTATGAGAAAGCTAATTGGCATGTGCCAAAACCAGATCAGGGACAAACTAAGCAGTACAAATGCTCAAGTTTGTTTCCTGGGACTGTTTTATTCAACAGCGTGGACAAGCTGTTAGTGCTAACTTCTGTCACTCATCAGCGCGTGGTTGTTTTTCTGCACGCAGTAGATTTTTTTCTTTTATTCCCAAGTCTATACCGTAATAGGTGTAGTACTATGCTTGGGATGTTATGCTTCTGAATATACTGAAGACATTTGCTCTTCCTCATACAGGTATGGTCAGGCTGTGTGCTATCATTTATATATGCAAAATGTTCTATATATACGGAATAACTAATTTCTTCTCCAACACTCAAATTAACTAAGCCACTAGGCTTGCAAAGTTTCACTGATTGGAGGCAGATCGTTATGTAAAAAGTGTTCATACTTTTACTTCATCTCGGACAGAGAGGACATAAGGAAAATCCTTTCTACTTCCTTCTATTTGCAGTGAGGGACAAACTAGAGTTAATTTACCTGATCGTCTCATAACCTCACAAAAAAAGTTTGTTGTGATTCAGTTTGCAGAGACTAATACATTCAAATCAGCTTCCCAAACCCAGATATTATGGACAATGGGGGTTTTTTTCTGAACTAATTGTGTGTTTTAATTAGTAGGCAATGTTTTCCAGCATAGAACTCACAGAGTCTGCACAGCTTAGCTTCTTGTGCATTCAGTAACTTGTCCTTTATCAAAGAGTCAAACCTTTTGTGTCTTATTGGCAGTACATGATGTGCATTGATTGTAAACAATGATCTATTTAATTAGCTTATTCATGTGTCTGTGTAGAAAAAGGCCACAGGTACCAAAACCAAGAGATAACAAAAAGAGCTGAGAGCACCTTCAATTACAGTATCCTCTTTATCAAGCTCTGAATTTAAATTATCTGCTCTGGAAAAGAGATGATGAGTTCATGTAACTGCAAATTAACACAATGAAAGCTTGCTGCTTATAAATGGTGTTTAGCTCTTCAGGATTTTTTTCTCATTCTACCCCTTACATCTGTATTGGAGAGCCCGGGGTTTTATTTTAGTAAAACTAGTGCAAATTGAGCGATTATCGTATTATTCCAAATTCAGAATGACATTTCTAAGATACATACAAACTGGAATCTATAATGATCAGTAAAATACTATTAAAATCAAAACGACAGCATTTTATACCAAATTTAAACACAGTAAAGGTCTGATCCCTCTTATATATAATACATGTTAACTACTGAAAATTCAAGAGAATGAAGAACAGACCTTAAGTCCGTTTAGTCTTTAAGTTTAGTAACTTAATGGATAGAAAGATAAAATTCAGTACCTGTGTAGGATAAGATATAATTTGAGGGAGCACGAATACAGACAAACGTTGATATAAAATCACAATCAAGATGTCACAACGCAAAAGGTGCACTGAAACAGGCATCATAATTCACATTTTTTGAACAGTCTCATGTCTGGAATCAAATGCCAGTGTGAAGTAAAATAACTTCTTTAGCAAAACTACACTGAAGACTGTCAAGTTCTCAGCTGAAACCAAAAGTTGGAACAGCATATAATCTGCTAGCTGAAGGCCTGATAGAAACATTTTGGTAGAGCAGAGAATTATTTCATAGCAGAGTGCCAGAAATTGCTTGGATTCTTCAGTTTTTTTCTTCCTTACTAAATCTGTAGATAAAGTTTAACTTTATTTTTGGGACCAAGGAAGAGGGAGGAATAAGAGTAACAGAAAAGCATTTATGGATCAAATCATAGGAAAGGAAGAAATATTTACCTTAAGAGAACAGATGAATTAGCCTCACATCCTTCCTCCTCTTCTGGAAAAGATAAAGCCAAGGGCAGTGGTTTTGGGAAATATAACAGGTTAAGTTCTGTTATATCATCAATGACATGCTAAAAATGAGTATGGAATGCTCATTTATCAAATATTTTCCAGCTCAGAAATCACAGTCTGCATATCTTAGCATCTTGTGCGTTCAGTAACTTGTCCTTTACCAAAGAATCAATCTTCTTGTGTTTTATTGGCAGTACATGATGTGCATTGATTGTAGACTGTGATCTGTTTAATTAGATTACTTATGTGTCTGTGTAAAAAAAGCCCCCAACCACAAAAAAAAAGGAGATAATAAAAAGAACTAAGGGCTCTTCTTTATTTTTCTTATTGTTTACCGAAGAACTTGTCAGCATCCATTGAATTTGAACATTAACATCAGGGTTGAACCTGAACAGTAAGGGCATACCTTCTCATACCGCTGTTAGGAGAGCAGGGAAATCTTTGCTTGACAATGCCAAGAGATCTAAAAGTACAAATGGATTGAAAGAAATACAAATTATTGGAAACACAGGCATAAGTCACTACTGAAGTTGACTCGAACTCTAGCTGAGGAAGCCCATGAATCACAGTCCATTTAAGCTGGGTGGGTATAAGTTTCCCTGTTTCTCACACAGTTCTCTTGGTTGACAGGTGATTAATTTGAACTAAATGAATGAATAAAAATTAAGCAAACTCATTAACTCTGAGTCCAGCGTATTTCTGATCAGTTGTCCTTCATATTTTTAACTACAGAATCCCCTTCACCTGCAGATGAGTTTAGAAAATTCAGTGAGTTCTGATGCTGACGTCACTTTCTCGATCCTTGCGATGAACAACTGGTATAACTTCAGCCTGATGCTATGCCAGGAGGAGTGGAACATCACAGAATTTCTCTTCCTCACACAACAGAGCTCCAAGTTTCATCTGGGATCCATTATAAACATCACAGCAAACCTCACTTCAACCAGTGACCTTCTGAACTACTTACAGTTTTACCTGGAGAGCATCAAAGACACAACGTCTACCATGGTGATGTTTGGATGTGACATGGAAAAAACGCGGAGGATTTTTGAAATAACCACCCAGTTTGGTGTCATGCCTCCAGAACTTCACTGGATTATTGGGGATTCACAGAACGTGGAAGAGCTGAGGACAGAAGGTTTGCCGCTCGGTCTCATCGCTCATGGCAAGACAACACAGTCAGTCTTTGAGCATTACGTACAGGATGCCATGGAGCTGGTAGCAAGAGCTGTAGCAGCAGCCACCATGATTCAACCTGAGCTAGCTCTTATTCCAAGTACAATGAATTGCATGGATACAGATGAAAGGAATATCACTTCAGGGCAGTATTTGTCAAAGTAAGTTTTTCCTTTTTTTCTTTTTTGTAGTTAATATTTGTGGTATACAAGAAAAATAATTTTCCACCCCACCATTTTCAGTGGCTTAGCTATCACGCTGTTAACCCTCCCTCATACTCACATTTGTTTCAGTATTTCCTCCTGCTTCTGGGCAAATAACGAAACAAACAGCCACAGAGGGAGATTAAGCTAGCTGTAGAAGAAGACATTGTTCCACAGAAGTAGAGATCACATAGTTAACATAGGCTAACATACAGACTATGATCTGAAAGTATCTTGTATTTATGTTTATGCATATAAGAAGAAAAAGTCAGGGCTAGTGTCAAATTCTCTGAAGTTTTGAGATACCTGAGAGAATACAAAACACAATAAGAATATTTGTGCTACCAAAGCCATCAGAGAGTGTAAAAGCAGTTGTGTGGCCTTTGCTAGTATGCTTCCATGAAAAAGAAACAAAAAAGATGCACCTTGACCACCGCAGAGACCACTGCTGCTGGTGAGAGCACTCAAAACCACAACGTGATCTCTCTGTTGCTTGGTGCGGGGGGCCCCTCTGTCAGCTCCTGCTAAAACTATTCCTGTAGGCCACTGCACATCACTATACTGGTTTTTCCCAAAACCGCTTGGGGATCCACTTCTAGAAATATTCTGGGTTTAACATATGAGAGGAAAAATTGCCTGGTTCTTTTTGAAAACAAACAAAAAGGTCCTTGCTAAGTATGTGAATTCATCAGCGAGTTTACATCCAGTGGCTGTTGCATGTTTTCCCCCCATTACACCTGGTTTTCAGCCTGCAGATTTTGTTGGATGGAGTTCGGATAAAAGTTCTTGAAGCTTTTTGCGTGTTTGCAACATTTTTTAAAGTGATATCTGAGATGTGTCTTCACAATAATGTGGTAACAGCACTGCTCAAAACACAACAATTTGAGCCCTAACAGTTCCTTAGTCAGCACTTGTCCATAATTTAGGGGTCAAAAATCCCCTGTTTCCAAAGAGTGAAACAAGACTTGGGAATAAATACTGCACTGGCTTGCAATATCCCCACTGACCTGTGATACTAATTTTGTCTCGTTATTCTTGGTATTTTAACTAGATCATACCTAAGGCCCTGAAAAGTAAAACTCAGCCAGAGGCTTCTTAAAGTAACAAGTATTTGAGGACAATAGTTTTACGAACAGACTTTTTGAGGGTTAAGGAAGGGACAAAGAAATAGGAAAGCAAAATTAAAGCTCTTAAATGTATTCCTGCAAAATATTTCTTCATCATTGCTTTCTACAGAAAACTATTAGCTCTCTCATGAACAGTGACTGCTGTAGCTTTTGTTATGTTTTGGGAGACAACATGCAATTTCACATTCATGAAATTTCTTGTTCCTTCATCTCAGTAAAGATATTGTGGAAAAGAAAAAAGGATCATATGCTTATCCTGGTTTTCCCTGGGCATCTGCTTGTGGACCCTACTAAAGACAAAGTAACAGGTTAGATAAACCCTTGTACTGAATCACTGCAACTGTTTTTACAGTGTGTAAGTGAGACAGATACCTGATGGCCAGTACTGATGTATTTGGGTTAGCAGCATAACTATTATCTCTGAGTGGTACCAATAATTTCTCAGCCATGAAGCACCGATGAGTGGCTTAACTGTGACCAATCTTGTCCATTGCACGAGTGCTTTTAGGCCAGTGGTGCACCTCCAAAGATGAAACTTTTATCTGGTGCTTAATTGAGCGTTTACTCATGTGGGCGTTCTTCTGTCTGAATGAACCCACCTGCCTTAATATGTAGCCTTGGAGCTGCGGTGGGCGGGGATGGAGAAGGCACAGTGGCACAGAGCTTCGCCTCCCTTAACTGCAGTGCGTAATTAAATAGCGGTCCCACAAGCTGCCACAGCTGACACCTGAGCTTTCATTGCCAACACTGCACTCATACTTTGGCTGTGCAGACATTTAAATGCCACCCAAGAGCAGAATAATTATTGTGAACAAGTGAAGATCTGGTCCTTAGCAAAGCATGTTTTTATCTATATGGATATGGATATGGATATAGATAGGTATAGATGTACAAACACCTGAAGATTATACTGTTTTAAGTCTCCATCCTTCATTCCTCTTACGATGAGATCGATTCCCTGATCTTTTCCTGCCTGATCATGGGTGCATCCTTGTTGACGAAACAAGGCATTAAAATTTCAAAGCCTCATCTTGTCTTATAGCTTTAACTAGCCTTATAGCTTTAATTCTTGGGTAATTTCAGCAGCCTGCTATTTGCTTGCCCATTCTAGTTCTTGCCTCCAGTAAATTTTCCAAGAAAGATGTGGAATGACCAAGCCATCAAGCTCGAAATAAAATGAAATTATTTAATTAAATCATTCTTAAAGGTACTACAAAGGTACTATCGCTGCTGGAATATGGTAGTACTGCTAAAGCTCTAATGAGCAGTTCTTACAACAAAGAACATGAAAAACAAATAAAGCTGAAATGAGCAAATGACACACTTTGGACTCATTGGTCAAACTGAAGTGACGCTACTAAAGCTTTGATACAGCTATCACAGCCTATCGGTGTGACCATCAGCTATTGACATAGCATCAAGGAAATTCATTCAGCTGTCAGACTTGAGGATCTGGCCCTTCACGTCCTGAAATTTGTACGCATCATCTTTCCATATAAATCTTTTAGTAGCTCTACTGAAAAGATACTGCTCAGATATTGCCAGTGTGTCTATGCAATAGTCAACACTTGTAATTCCCAGATTCACACTAGAGATTGTTGGCTTAAATAATCAAATCCTCTTATCTATTTCCTAAAATTATTGAGTAAGGGATTTTTACGTGAAGTCCCTGGCATGAGTTTCACTAGTGCTGCATACAGTGTATGCAAATGATTAGCAGCCATAGCCACTCGCGTATAAAACACAGTATTGTTGAAATGTGTATCTCCCACATGGTACCCCTCATTTATTTGATTAATGTCCTGTCACTACCAAAAATACAGAACATGCAAATCAGCTGCAAAAGTAAGCCACTAACTCGATAAGGTAGCAAAGTCATACATTTAAATGCTACTACATCTCTCAGGTAACCACTTCGAACACAATTCAACCACAGGACAGGTACAGAGGGCTTGATTCACCCTCATGGGCACACTTATTTCTACAGTGAAAGTCAGAGAACACAGTGCATAAATTCCACTGTTCTCATTCTACCTGCAGGAAAGAAATCTAATGCATTATTCCATAGCTTCACCTACTCCCAAAGCACCTGGTCTGCAGCATTCTGATATCCAAGTCGTGCTGTAGTAGCAATGTAGTGCCAAATTCATCAGAACTTTGCTAGCTTATTCCATCTGAGGATTTGCCTCCCTCAATTTTGGCATTTTCTGAACTGTTAACACTATTTTCCACACTTAAACAATTCTTTCAAAATTTTACTTGCAGACCTATCTAAACATGCAATGGTTTTACTGTTATTGTCATAGTGATGGCTTCAGCACATAAGCCCAGCAAAGCTTGTAAGGAAGAAGTTGCACAATTTTTTACAAAGACCGAGGAGAAGAGATTAAAAACCGGATAAGTTTATGGGCACATAAATCTTCCTTTAGTGCTTAAGATTGCCTTCCCCTATAAACTTTGTCTTGATAGTGTTTACATACACAAACAGGCAAGTACATCATCAAATATGAAACACAGGGTAGGAGGAAAGGACTAGTCAAACAGTGGCAGACACCACTGATTAATGAAGTTACAATATTATTTAGCTAACACTAGACTAAGTGGTAAAGGATTTTAAAAATGAGAACTACATTTATGCGTTTGTCCCATTTATAAACATATGTGTGCATTTTTAGGTATAATTTTCAGGCCCAAGTTAGCACATGTACAGACCAATTGCTTTTGGCAGTATTGGCTGTACCATCTTTCTCCAAACTCAACCTGCTCAAAATAGACTGCATAAGAAGAATTTTTAAGCCATCTCAGAGAAGGGTGCCAAACACACAACCACACTCAAAACTATATTATTTAGTTTTGTAAATTTACCCTTTGCTGAGGACAAAAACTGTATGATCTTGAGACATACACAGTCCAGAGTTCTAACTGCTGAAACCCCATCAAAAATCATCAAAAGTCATCGAAACAAAGGGTAGAGACCGGGCAGAAGTATGCATGCACACACAATTGCTGTGAATTTATCCTTTTCAAATCAATTTAAGGTTATTTTTTACCTGCTCTAACTATTGATAAACAATTAACATTACTTAAAGTTTATGTCTTGCTTACTGAGGCTGGAATGACAGCTATAACCTTTATACTTCTTTCAATACTTGCTTTTATCCAATTCCCAGAACTAATGTGAGGTGTTATATTCTACTATGACAGCTAAATAGTCTGTCTTCTGAGTGCCTTTTACTGAAAAGTAAGTGCCTGACTTACCTTACACGTATTAGCGGCAATTTAACTCAGTTGTTTTTAATGGAATCACCATGCTAAGACTTACACAGTCTTAGTAGGGTCCCTCTACGGCCCCTGCAAAATGCATAGCAGCTTTCTTATTAACAGAGTGCAGTTCAGCTGGTCATGGTCTTTACATAAAAAGGATTTTCTCCTTATAACACTTATTTCCTTCTCAGTTTCCTCTCCTTTATCCATGTCATTTTAGCCTCTTTGATAATGACTTACCTGAAGCTGAATTCAACATATAGGGAGGACAACTACTAGCAAACATCACCACCCAGTTCAAAGGAAATATTTAACTTTATTGTGAATATCTGGAATAGTAAAAGCCCAGAAATCTCAATGCAAAATGTGCAGTGCAAAACTGGCACACTTCATGAGATCTGCTACAATGTCGAAATTGTTTTAAGAACATTACTTTTGCAGATATTTTAAGAAACTTCTTTTTTTTGGTAAGAATTAAAACTGACTGTCCTAGGGCAACCATCTTTCACTGAGTCTCTTTCTTCATTCTGAAGTGGCTAACACTGATTTACCAATGCCAAATTTGCATTTTTGAATCCAGATTGGTTCACTTTCAGAGTGCTTGAAAGCTGCGGACAGCACTTCAGCAGCCGCTCTTATGTAAGCTAGATCTTACCGAGATTACGGGGTTTTTCTTGGAAGGACATTTCATACATATTTTCGTACATATTTTTATCTAGGAAACTGACTACAGATCTGGTGAGTACAGCTTAGAACTAACCTACGTTTCATTAATTTATGAGGCAAAGGTAACTGAAAAAATTGGTGTTCTCTCAGTCATTTTTTCTAGTAAGTAAAAAGAATATCTTTCTTGAAGAGTTTTCATTTACATTAGGTAAGATACGTAGGAGAGCATTCCTAAGGACTTTAGTTATAAATTAAGTGGCTTGTTCATCGTGCCGTAGGAAAGCTGTTAATGATCCAGGTGTTCAACAACATCCGCAATCTATTCTCTTAAACATAGATTCATGGTGTCTGCATATGCTTTAGCATGATGTCTTCAGTTGCCAGCTGATGTAGCTTCTGATTACTTTGCTTTCTCCCTCCAACAGGTTTTTAGCCAACACAACTTTTGACGGTCTCAGTGGCCACATTAAGGTGAAAGGTTCCTCCATTGTCAGCTCCGAAAACAACTTCTTCATCTGGAATCTGCAGCATGACCCTGTCGGGAACCCGATGTGGACTCGTCTGGGGAGCTGGCAAGAAGGAAAGATAATCATGGACTATGGGATATGGCCAGAACAGGCCCAGAGACATAAGAATCACATGCAACACCCCACCCGGCTGCACCTCAGGGTGGTAACTCTCATTGAGCATCCATTTGTCTTTACAAGAGATGTAGATGATGAAGGTCTTTGCCCAGCAGGGCAGCTGTGCCTGGATCCTTTGACCAGTGATTCAGCCGTGCTGGATAACCTGTTTGAAACCCTTCAAGGAGGGAATGACACCGTTCCTATTGAACTGAAGAAGTGCTGCTATGGCTACTGCATTGACCTGCTGGAGAAGCTAGCTGAGGATATGAATTTTGATTTTGACTTGTACATTGTTGGTGATGGAAAATATGGAGCCTGGAAGAACGACCACTGGACAGGGCTGGTGGGAGACCTTCTGGCTGGCACAGCTCACATGGCAGTGACATCATTTAGCATTAACACTGCCCGCAGCCAAGTGATTGATTTCACCAGCCCTTTCTTTTCAACCAGCTTGGGCATCTTGATGAGGACCAGAGACACAGCAGCTCCTATTGGAGCCTTCATGTGGCCACTTCACTGGACTATGTGGCTGGGGATATTTGTTGCTCTCCACATCACAGCTATATTCCTCACCTTATATGAGTGGAAAAGTCCTTTTGGGATGACCCCCAAGGGAAGGAATAGGAATAAAGTCTTCTCTTTCTCCTCTGCCCTGAACGTCTGCTATGCGATCTTGTTTGGAAGAACAGCTGCCATCAAACCCCCCAAGTGCTGGACTGGAAGGTTTTTAATGAATCTCTGGGCTATTTTCTGTCTGTTTTGTTTGTCCACATATACAGCCAACCTAGCTGCTGTCATGGTAGGAGAGAAGATCTATGAAGAGCTTTCTGGAATACACGACCCAAAGGTAAGGCATGTCTGTTGTTATTAACTCAGCCTTTTCTTCTTCCCAGTCAGAATTCACTGCTGCATAATTTATGGTTTCTAATAAAATCAGAAAGCAATCTGTGTGCAAAACAGCAGTTGCACTACAATTAGTTACCATCTGACGGCACTTCAGTAGAAAAGTTCAGTGAGAGAGGATCTTTAAACATTGATAGAAGTGTAGGGGGGGATTTCAAAGATTGAGGGTGAGGAGGAAGGTGAAGGATTTTGGTGTTGCCCTCTGCAGAGAAGAAAAGTGGCTTCTACATGCAGATTAAGGGTTAGGTTTCAGTTCTGAAGTCCCTTCGGCTGTAGTTGCTTTGATCAATTCAGTGATTTGGGTCATCCTGAGATCGACTCAAACAAAACAACCACACAGCATGACGACAAGACCACTGATGTTCTAGGTAGGATTTTGCAAGTATTTCACAGGCCATAACGGTGCTTACAAAGGCATTACTGGCAAAATTCTCCACAAATGCTAAATCAAATGGAGCAGAACTGAAATCTTTTGAAAAATCCTACCTTCTGCATCAAAAAAATTCCATCAAGTGGAATTCACTTTACAAGTAGTCAAACATTTGATTTGCACTGATGTTTCTGCTGGGGAACTGTCACGAGGAGATGAATTATGTTGTAGACAACCCATCTGCAAATAGGTCAGATTTCCTAGTACTTTTTGGTAAGGCAAGGAAAAATGTAGAACCGGGACTGCCTCCATCCATTCTCTCCCAAGGCGGGATGAAGGGATCTTCAGTTGAAATTTAAGTCCAGTCATTTTATAAGACTATTCTGATTTTATTTGCCACTAAGTAATGATCATGAAAACATGCATGCAGAATGATTGTAGAGAGAATACTTGGCTGCAGGTGACACAAGAGCAGGCATCCTCTTCACCTGACAGTCACTCTAGGGGACAAGGAGGCAACAGCAAATTTCCTTTGTTTGTTTGGCACTTTCTCCAGTGAAGGTGTGATTGTATTGTCCACAGTTTTATACTCATAACCTAACTGCTGGTACATAGCTTTGAAACCATCCACCATTAATTTGTCTCAGGTGACTGAATTGACGCAACATTGTACCACTGGAAAAAGTCATTTTACGAACTCAAGAACTGAACATTTATTTTGCTTTTGTAAATTGTGTAAATAAAGGTTACGTATGTCCCTCCAGACAGCAAAGACCAAGCTCCATCTGTTATGTTAGTAAAACCTTGCATTCAGACTAATGACCATATAGTTTTGGCTTTGTGAGTACGACTTCTGACTCACTTCCTCCAACATTATCTAGATTGTTTCTACCAAAAATATTTTAAACAAAGAACAATACTTTTTATGGTTGGCCTGAGGCACTCTAAAATTGATTTATGGCTTAAAGCAAATTGCTACTAATAATCTGCCCATCCCCTTCCAGAAAAAATATCATAAATACCGCATCAATAACTTCATCAATTTAAGCCACAAAAGTTCAGGAATCGTGTATTTATTTTATTCAAAGCATTCTGAATAAGCAAGTGAGAACTTTCAGCTGAATTTCCCCAGCTCAAAGAATATCTCTGTTACAGTAATTGTTGTGTGAGCCATAATATTGGCTTGAAAATGAGGTTAGTCCTCTACTCTTTGCATGGGCATCACCTAATCCATCAAATCAAGTCGCATCAGATTACATCTTATTTTTCTGCATCATTATTGTGACCACACATGGAGTTCCTAAGACAGGTATTGGGAAATTTCTGCAATTGCAAGAAATGAAATTATTCTAAAGCTGCACTGTAAAGCTTGGCTGTTGAGTTACAAAATTGAGCACAGAGTATTGAAGCATGTCAGGTGCTGCAAACACAGGTCTTAGTCCTGAACAGAAACACTGATGACTCATGGTTAGTAACCATTAAATCAGTGGCATTACTGGCCGTTCCTAGACAGGCACTTCTCTGCTTTATGGACTAGATGTAAGCTTCTGAGTAGTTACCAGCTTCCAATGTGGGAATAAGACAAGGTAGACTTTATGGAAGAGGATTGCCTGCCATTACATGAACTACAAAATAGTTTCATATATTTCATTCATGCGTTGTCTCCAAAGTCATAGTCTGTAAGAGTAGTTATAACAGAAAATGTACCAGTTTAACATTTTCTCACACAAAGCCTCAAAGTTCTCTCTAAAACTTAAAGCTTAGGTTTAGGAAATGTTTGGGGCACAACAGTTGCAGAGGTACATGCGCCATTTTTTAGTTAGTTACTTAAAGCATTTTTATGTAATTTAAAGATTCTAGGGCTTTTGTTCCAGATCTGCATACCTCTTTCTTTTCAGTGGCGGAGACCCATTTCAAAAAGAAGGCAGCAGAATGCAGAAATAATCTTTTTAATTTTAATATACTTTTAAACATTCTCCTGCTGCTCTCAGGATACATATGCTCTTGTACTGTGTTTTTGAAATGTATTTAAAAAACAAAGTCCAAAATAGAGGAGCAACCTTCTTGAGGTGATGTAAGACATATAATTTCTTGAGGCTGGCAGCCTCAAACAGCAAATCCCATCTGAGATTGCAAACAGTCAGGAAGGAAGGCAAGTTGGGAAAAATTGAAAGGTTTTTTTCAAGATTAGAAACCTGGTATCTAAAGTCAGTATTGCCAGGAATATCTATGCTCTCTCTTCAGGTTAAAAAAACACAAGGTTAGATATAGCCTGAATAAATAGCATCTGCCTTTCTAGAAAACTTCATGTTACAACAGGGATGTTTAATTGACCAAGCAGTATAGTGTTTTAGCAGTTGCTCTTTGCAGCTCAGCAAAAGAAACATGGTCCTCCTGTTGCTGAAGTCTTGAAGGTACAACATTTTTGTCCGAAATCAAAAGAAAATGAGTTGCCGTTCAACCACTAATCACAAGCTAAAGTGGAATACGGAATTAGAGATACCTCAGTTGGACCATTAAATACTAGCAATGTAGAAGTAGAAGTAAGGGAATACAGAAATATCATCACGCTGCTGAAAGGAGAAGCAGCCAGTGAGGCAAGACAAACCAGAGCAGAAGGCAAACAATGGGAGGCAGGAGAATTGAGTTCCTGGAATACGTCTTGAATTTTGGAAACTTAGTGTGTATTTTCCATGTAAGAATCTTAACAAGGGTGAGTCACTAAAACCAAACATCTGGAGTATCCATGAAAGCTGGCTACTCCCTTTACTAGGTCACATTTCAGGTGACTTTTTACAGTAGGAGCTACAACATAGCCAGTAAGTTGCAGAAATATTAAAACAATGTCCTGCAACCTTAAAATCTTACTCTTCTAAAAGAATGGGCAATTTTGGGCCACAGCTGCCCTCTCTGCCTCATTTTCTAATTTTACACATTTTAGAGCATCATCTCTTGCCAGTGGAAACTCACTTCAGGGAAGAAACTCACTTGAACGTGTTCAGTCTGCTGTTTGAGCACAAGAGGATAGCTTCAGGGTGAACGTGCCTTTTACCTGGATGAAAGTTGCAGCAGTGTTCTGATTCCCTCCTAGGAAGCTCTCTACATTACATGGCAAAGCCTTTTAAAAGCTTGTTTGCAGATAGAGGAGATAGAGACAGAGGAAAAACATTGTATTTGGATCATTTTATACTGCTTTTATCCCTTCTCTCATCTGAATCCGAGGCTTATTTCAGTTTTTCTCCTAGTGTCACATCTTTGGATGCACAAAAAATTACAACATTCTTCTTTGTCAGAGTGCTTGGCCCACCAGGTACGCTGTTGTACGAGTTGACTTCTTTACAAGGTCAGTTATTCAGCCTACAGGCATGCAAACCAGCAGCCTGCCTTTGAGCTGGTCTGGTCATTTGTCTTACCTACCTGTAATGGCCTGGAGACAGCTGGCTTGATTCCTGACATCTCCCAAACCTGCTTATCGCCTTGTTTGTTGTATAGCTCCTCAGCCCCTTGATGATGACATTATACTCAGCCACCACCCAAAGTTTTTATCCTTCGCTAGGGCCAGTGCACATTTTCACAGCGGCAAGACTAGGTTGCAATAGGTAACTCCTTAAAACAGAGCTGGTGCTTGAGGAGCACGTAGGTATGCAGATGGGGACAGATAAGGCTAGGACAGCTGGCCACTGTCGTCTTTTCTGGATACAAAAAAGAGAATTTGCTACCATTCTGCTTCAGAAGCATGTATCTTTATGGCTGTTGTCTCTTTTAGCCAGTCTTGTGACAAATCCAGATATTTTATGTTTCAGTTTCCAGTATGGTTTCCATAAAGCAGTACTATCTGCACGTGAGTAATCTAGGTCTCAGGGCCACAGACAGGGAAAAGAAGAAATTACCTGTAAGTACATAGCAATGTCAGTGTCCTCCTTTGCCCAGCGAGCCTGCAGCTAAGGCCCAGATTCAGTAAAACTCTTCATTATCAAATCCAAAAATAGGGTCTTGTATTACAGGATCTTCCCAGGGAGTGGGTTTTTTTAGTGCCAAGGGGACTTGAAGCAGGGACTTTGCTTTCAGGCTTCTAATGCAAGAGCACATGTTGGATATGCACCATGAAGTCGGGAGCGTGTTGAGTAGTTCATATTATTTGAAGCCAAGTAATTGTGGAAGACCAGAGGATGGAAGAAACATTTCAAACATGCCAACAAGAAAGCACACAATAGCAGAAGCTGAGGAGCTGGACAGATTTTCCATAAGGTGGTCCAGCGCCTGGCCTTTCTTTTTTTTAAAAGTGTCATTCTTTCAACAATATAATGAGCTTTTCAGGTGCTATCCGACCATTCTCACTTCTGTGACAGCTGTCAGCTTTTCTTTGCCATCTTTACTATATACTTGACTAGCTATGCCTGTTAGTTTACTATGATTATGTTTTTACTTCTCTGGATCACCTTCAAAACACCTTTTGACAATGGCAAAGTTCCTTTCCACATTGTGTTTTTACAGAAAATATCAAACCTGTTGAGATTCATTTAACAAAAAGGGCTACACCTGTGAATCCCATCAGCAATTTCACTGTGTTATCT